CCCCGTCATTTCTGACATTTTCCATTAGCCGGCCTAAGAGTAAAACTAAGAAAGTTAACGCAAAAATTTGCTGGGTCTGATTTATCACGAAGTTTTCGGAACCTAGCAAATTGCACTTTTATCAGCGTGTCAATTGTTTTAATTGATTCAGCTATTCGAATTTGTTCTCACCTAACAGTCTGCACATTCAGATATTCCTTAACATAAATTTCCAATCCATTGATCTGTTTCCTATGTCATCACTTCCCGTTCCCTGTTTCATTCGACATTTCTCTATTCTGTTTGTCACCGTTACGTATCTCACCTCTATGCCCTTGGATTGTGTCACTGCTGAAATATCAGTCATATTGATTTTTGTGCCATTCCCTCCATTTTATGAGTTAGAATTTTCAATTCGATTTTTTTCATATTACTACCAGCATCGCGAAATTGACTATTTTCAACTTTTTCATCTATATTTTCCATAACCACCTCTCCTTCTGGGTCGCCGAAGCAGACGCGTCAGACACTGCTTCAAATTATTCTGTTGCTGTGTCAATATCTGAGCTTCGGCAGAAGACAACTAGAGTCTAGAGCAGACTCCTTCCATATGTTTACGTCAGGTTAATATTATTTGTCCCCGGGGCTTTCTGCCGGTCAGTTTGGCAAGAAATAGCTACTTCGCCTTCCTTTCTGAAAGATATACATGCCAAAATCGTCGCAGATGTGACTTTTCGATCTGAAGAAGCAGCGGCTGTACAATAAGGCTCTCGCGGATGTCTGTATTCCAGACCATAACGAAATTCCTAAGATCAGCGACTTGTCTCAGAAAGCTCATTTCAGCTGTTTGTACCCGGGATCGAAGCTTTTCCATCATAGTTAATGAATCATGACCGTAGGTAAGCATGAGAATGAACATGGACTTGAACACTGAAAGCTTTGTCTTCACACTCAATTCTGCTTTAACTACAACAGTTGGAGCCAATTCACGTAGAAAGCCACTTGTTACTCCAATTCCCGGTCTGTATCGTCTTCAAACTTTCCTTCACCAGTGAACACGACTCCGAGATACCTGTTCTTCACCTGTTTCGAATTTTTTCACCGCTTCCACTGCCTCTCTGTTAATCTCAAGAGAGCAGCGGCCAGAAGCGAGAAAGAACAAGGCCTTTCGCTTTAGGTACGTTGACATACATGCCGGCCACGTCGCTCTTGACTGCAAACTTTTCTAGCGAGCGCTGTAAATCAATTTCAGAAGACGCCAACAAAACAAAGTCGTATCAACAGCAACCTTCTCATTTCGACATCTCGTACAGCGATACTGTCACCAACCTGGCTGCCGGACTGTTCCATCTGTGTACAACACAAAAAAGAGGGGGCAGAGCGCAGCCTTGGCGGAGACCAGGCCGACGTTCTTAACGCCATTTACTCTTACACCGCACCTGCTCTCAACATATGATCATTACATGACCCGTAGCAACTGGTCATCGATCCCGTATGTTCGCAGGCACGCCCAAAGGTTGTTGCGCTGGACGCGGTCACGGGCTTTTTCTAGGTCAACAAAACACATGTATACCGGACGGGCGTACTTCCACGATTTCTCAACAATCTGGCATAGAAAGAATATCTGGTCAGATATGTTTCGGTCAAGACAGAAGCCACATTGCTCTTCTTCTGTCATGGAATTTTTCAGTCCGCGGAACCGCCTTTCTAGTAACTTGCGTAGACTTTACAGGATGGGCTCAATAAAGTAATGCGCCTGACAAATGGAGCACTGCCTATGGCCACCCTTCTTGAACAGAGGTAGAGGTACTGTTGTCCCCTGGTGCCTTCGCTGTAGCCGTTGCAGTTTGGCATAGAGGTGTAAGTCAGCACATGCTCATTCGCCAAATGCCTTGAGCATCTCACGGCGGATTTCATCAATTCCAGAAGCCTTTCGATTTTTCAAGCATTTCGCAGCTTGTGGGATTTCATCTGCAAAAGTGCTTATGTTCGTTCCTTGCTGCCTTACAGACGAGTGTTTCTGCAGTTGTTCGGCATTAAGGAGTTCTTCAGAATACTCGCTATCGCCGAAGAAGATGCTAATCCTCGGTAATAGGGCGTCCGAATTTTTCATTCAGAACTGTTAAACTGTCATTGTTCTCATCTCGGAGTCGGCGGATGGTCTGTCAAATACCTTGTTTGCATCTGGAAACTGGTCTCCAACATCTCACCGAACTTTCACCGCGTATTTCGGTGCCGCCTGCGTGCTTCCATATACCGCATGTGAGTTGATTATTATTTAATCACCGCAGCTTATTACTTCCTAGCCTTTGTTTGAATGCAGCCTTCTCTTTAACTGCCAGTTGTACCTCTCGTGTGCAGCAGGCAGGTGCAGCTTGATCTCGCACCATTCGGCGTCAATCCAGAGAACGTCCCCTTTAAAAAACAGCTCTCAACCTGTTTTCACATCAGTGGTAATCACCGGGATCTGTTCAAATCGTTGTGCGATGTCGTTTGCAAATCTCGCTCTCGTGTCCACCGAAGGTAATGTTTCCCATTTGCATCTGCCGCCAGATCTTCGCATGGCACTCCATTCCTTAGAGCGTAGCGTGCCAACAACATGCCGATCACCGGTTGACAGTTCATCGCCTCACTCAGCGGAAACATTGATCACAAAGCATCGTAAGTCAAACCATAGGATTATCAAATCGATCATTAACTTCTGTGTACAAGCTTTGATATACACTGCATAATGCACGCTTCAATAATCCAGGACGATAAACAGTCCGTTGTCTGTGACAAATTAATCCCATTATTTCTGAGGTCACCAGCGCCGTTCTCTCCAATCACGCTTTTCTCCTTTTCACTTGCTCGGATGATGCCATTGAAACTGTTCATTAGAATGAGGAACTCCGTAGTCGGTACTTCGTACAAGGCACACTTAATACACTTCACTTTTCAAGAAAGGACTCATATTCACCATCGAAATTGGGTCAACGCTGTAACCTGTTGTAGCATCTGTCGGCAGATTGCCCTCTTACCCTGACAGGCTTCCATTCAGTGATTCTATCAGCCAGATTGGGTTCTACCACAATGCCGACACCGGCCTGATCGCGCGTCGTGACGTCGATATCTGAGTAGAATAGCTTACACTTGCAGAAGTTCGAGATTCCAGAGCCTTGGTGCTTCGTTGAAGAGAATCCAACAATGTCGAGTTGGTACTTTATGGCCTCATCAACTTGCTCCTGCTTTTTCCATCTGAGTGAGGCCACATTCCAATTTCCGGTTGTTAGCTCCCAGTAGCGGCGTCGTTCTTATGGAGCCTGTCTTGAAATGATACAACGGCATCGCGCTCTTTGTTTCCACCGTTCAGAACGGGTAACGATTCCATTGCTGACTGGTATCTTCGTCGTCGTTTTGTTGCTCTTCTTCAGCGGTTGTTGTGCTTGCTCGACAGCCAGTAGGCGTTGAGCAATCTCTGATAGCCGAATTTTCGCAGCCTGCCCCTGACTCCCAATCCCAACAGCCTATGCGGCCTTTGGTAACTCGGGCGACGACCGAGTCGGTACAATTTTTGATTACGTCAATGCCATAAGAGAAAGTGGCTGAGGTTTACTGAAACTTCGCCACGGTCTCCAACGTTTTTTCGTTCTCATTCGGGCTTGAAACGGCAACGGCAAAATTAAAAACTAGACTTGTTCTTCTTTAAAAATTTACTAGTTTATATTTGGCGTTATTCGCCATGGTAATTTGAAACTCTTTCGGATATTTTCGGTTGAAATCGATCTAATTAATTAGACCTGAGTAGAGGTGTATTTCCGTAATCTGTTGTGTTTTGGGTTTAATACTTGCTAATCTGCTGTGACCGTTTTGGAACAACGAATATTCTAGACTTCGTTAGAGGCACTGGAGTCTTTTCGCAATGTTCGTAGGTTTCTTTCGTCGTATTAGTTGTCCTGTTCATGGTCCCGTTCCTCTATGTTAACTGTAGTGGTTGTAAATTTTTCAGATTTATGTTCTGATTTCTAGATATGCTTTCCTTGCTTGTTTAAAGTCTTATGTTTTAGTTTCAATTCGCATTTCAGAAATTTGAGAGTGTTTCAGATCAAATACCAAAATAGATTGTTTAGCTTCCCTGCACTATTAACATCGACATCTTATGAATATCGATTTATGCAGGTTGTACTACGGACAGGCGTAATCAATGTTGCTGAATTCTTTGTGCTTTTGCATATACAGGATTCCCTTGGAGATATATGTGTATCAAGTTTTCACTCGCTAAGTTGCGTTAACCAATCAGTTAAATCAAAAGGGTTCGCTGCTTCAGGTAACTGAAATTAAGCTACTAAATAAATCGGAGACTGTGTAGATTGTTCGTACATCAATGCTGCATGTAGCAATACAGGTAGTTAAACATATTGTATTGCCTTAGATTTGTTATGGTGAATGTCTCCAGTAGTTATGCAATTTATATCTTTGTGTTAATAATATGCTGGTAGTTGTTGCTAATGACAGTCGAGTAATGGCAATATTTTACCTATGTATCTATTGCTAATGACAGTATTTTACCTTCCTGATTCAGTAATAGCTATAGTTTAACGCTGTCACGATTAACTGAGAGAAAATTTTGTGATTCTCTTCGCAACGTAGATTTAAGGTTTGTCATCCTTGGTCAGTTCCGCCCAGACTAGTCATATAGCTGTAGAGGATTCAATGTAACACAAGAAAGTTATAATTTTGACGTGTAGATACGAATTCTAATGGCTTAATGATTACACATTCGATAAGAGGAGGATTTACAAATCACTCTTTGATGAAAATTATTAATTCATTTTGAAGAATCATCGTTATTTTTGCGTTCAACTGTTTTCACGTGCTGTGTGGTCTCTACGATTTAATTCTGCTGAATTTTATGTTGTGCTACAGGTAACGCTATGCAGAGGAATAATGATAGACTTTGGTCGTGTGACATTAGTGCTATTTTGTATTTATTCAAAGCATTTACTTTCAGCTTCCTTCAGAAATTCGTTTCAATGGCTTCAATGTCTATTCCCAAAGTCGGGTTGAGTCGCCTTTTGAAAGAGGGAACGAGGGTAAAATCTTCTGTCAATTTAAACTGTTCCATAAGTAGTTGCAAATATGCCTTTTATAGAGTTTTCAAGGCATTGAGGAATCGATCTTGCGGAATATTGAAGCCTGCTCTGATTTGGCGAACACCGTTCGGTCAGCTTTTGGTCCAAATGGTGAGTGATTCGTTGTTGCACTATTGTTTCATATTGAAAATACAAAAATAGACACGGTTTGTTTATACACCATGCAAATAATGTGGTCAGTCGAGTGATACAGACCGTGTTTCATTGACCTTCTTCACTGTAGAGAAGCCGGCGAGTTTCCGAAACCCTTTTTCTCCACAACGCCTTTTGGCTCAAAACAGGAAACCAGTGGGCACTACAAAACAACTACCAAAGACAACCCACCTCTACCTTGAAGAAGCCCTGGAAAAACGGACCGATACGTCTGTACTGTTCGATCATTTATTCGATTAGCGTTATGTATAAATAAACGGTGTTGTTGCTTTCGATATGACCACCAATACTAAGTCGTATTTAACTGTTTTTTTTTATTGCAAAGTAAAGTCACCTTGTCGCGATATCCCCTGAATTAAAGTTTCATTGGGCTTGTGTGTAAAAAATGAATGTATGCCATATAGCTGAAACCATCAAAATTTTCGATAGGTGATCCCTATGAATACAGATGATTTAGTCTTATTGCTCAGACTTCATGTGGTTGCACTACATAATCGTGTACTCATGCTGCCCAGTGATAGCGGCCAGATGTCAAGAGTCACGAAGAAGCACTCTAGAAATGTTGAAAAGAGAAGCGTCAGTACTTCTTCAGTTTGGCAGATCAGTCTGCAATATGATAAGAAATTTATCAGTTGTAGCGAAAGGAATGAAATCAACCACATTAGCGAAGATAAATCTTACTTCAGGCAAATGAGGTGTGCAAAAATTCTATCTCCTATTGGAGCTCAAAACCGAGCTGTTTTCTGTTTACACGAAAAGTCTTATTTTTGTTTTCGTGCTCCATGTCATGTGTGACGTGACGCGTTGGCACAGTTGTCTGAGGTCTGCTACAAACAGATTATGTACGAGATTCGATTCCACTCAGTAACATCTGTGTCTTTCTCACAAATTCCGTTGAGCAAGGAATTTACTACATATTGCATCAGGCCAAAATTGTTCACTCGGTACCGCGTCGAACCATATCATATCAGAACCTTAGCTCATGCACCGGTCTGAGTCACACGTCCTTCTTCCTTCTGAGATTGACAAATGAGTACCACTCTGCGGGAAGTAAACAGGAGACTACACGCGATGTTCACTACATGGCTGTAGATTCTGCCTTAAAAAAGACAAGACATTCCTGGTTGATGACATAGAAACGGAAATTGGCACCGCTCCACCGTTTCCTTTCCATATCATGTTATATGTAATGCGGTTTGTCGGTTGATTGTGGTTCAGAGGTTTCGTCCCATATCTCATAGACCTTCCTCAATACGAGGCATGTGGCTGTTAACCGGGTGACGTAAATTT